CTGTATAAATACCAGCTTGATTCCAGTCAGTTTGCAGGGTTTGTATTGAGTTACAACCTGCTTTATTTTTGTATGTCAACTGGACGCTAGCTGAGACCCTTACGCCTGTAAGTGCTGTTTATTCTATTGTTATTCTACGCCTTCAGCTCAAGATGAAGATTAGAACTGATAGAAAGCGCATGCATTCGACAGTCTTCAGGGAAAGGTGGGTGAGTGAGGCGAGCTTGGTTCATTTGAACGGGGCTAGCCTTGATTTTCTCTTTTAGGTCAAACCTACGTCACATTAGGGTGGTTTCCTGGTGAGCCCTCCCCTTAGTTAGGTTAGACAAGCTTTTGTGTACCTAGTTAATGTGAGTAAGTGTTGTTCTCGGCCTGTTCCCGGCCACATCTTTAATTATGATCCAGCCTGAGATTCCCAACCGCCCCAGTTTGTTTTTGGTCCCTTTTTATCTCGACTGGGTCAGCTTTACATTTTCCCATGCCCGTATAATATTTTATCTTTTTCCCACTCCCTTAGTGAGAGAGCCTCTGGATTTTGCCCCCTGGGCAGAATACAGCGGCCTCGCTGTTTTGAGGGTTGGACGGGCCCTACTAGTATCATTTTAATTATGTTTACATTTTAGTTGATTATTGGGCTCATCTCCCCTCCCTATCATTGTATTCATCCATAGAATTTTAATTGCATATATATAATCATTATATTTTTATGGTGTGGGGTGCGTTTTGTAGGTCTCCCTAGAGTGGATGTGGTATTATGGTGCATGGAGGATTGATTGGTGATGGACGAGTTTTTATGGTGAATGGGTAAATTGTAATGTTTGAATGGGTCGTGAATCTGATTAGCTAGGTATAAGATAGTTAGTGAAGACCAGCCTTTAACCCTCCCCTTTTTTCGGCCTTGTGCCACAATTTTGTACGTATACAAAATAAATATAATGACTAGTGCATTAAGTTGTTTTTTGTGAGGTCTCTTTTTTGCTCATAGATGCGTTTTTTTAAATTTCTGCTTGTTTCTCCAATATCTTGGGAGGAACAGTTTTGGTAATTTATTTTATGAATGACTTCTTCCGAAATATTATTTTCTAATTTTTTCTAGTTGCTGAAAACATTTTGTTTGTTGTTATTAGTTATTTTGTTTTCAATAAATTCATTTCCTTTTGCTTTGAAAAATTTCACATTTGACTAAACGCGTCGGCTAATAACACAGTTTTCCTATTGTCTTTTACCTTCATACATATTGTCTTTTTATATACAGATTAACTCTGATAAATTTTCCATATATATATATATATATATATATATATATATATATATATATATATATATATATGATAAAAGCACTGTTTACGCCAGAGTTTCGCAGCGGTCAATCCGAATATCAAGATGTAATTGTTTGGTTGATTTGCATTTTTACGGTTTATCAACACTTTGTTGTTTATCTAAAGTATAAAAATTGTATTTTAAGAATAATTATTTTTCTTTTGTGTGTGAATATTGCATTAACACATTTTTTTTAAAAATAGCAATGATCTATCCAAATACAAAGCCTACTATTTAACCTGTAACCGGGGGGAAAGAGATAGATTCCTACCTTTCTTAAATGTATTTTCGCATCAATTAATGCAAAGAACTCTGAGAGAGAAAGACAATGAAACGATTTAGTGAGGAGAAAGGACAATAAAAGAACAAGTTTCAGGAAGACAGAAGATGGCGACTTCCGTTGCATTTCAATTTTTTAAGATCGTATGTGGCAGGGACGCAATATGTAGGAAGATATTTCCACAAGTGAGAAAAGAAGGTATTAGAATAAAACTTACGGTTACATCTATCTTGGTATCCACAGGGGATAAGTTCCAAGCTTCCTTGCAGATACCAAAATTGGAGGCTGTGCAAGTCACTTATATACAACGTGTATAAAAGCTTTATTATTAAAATATTTGTACTGTTAAGTTTCAATTTGTATTATAGGCTACAGAACCAGAGATGGTTAAAGACAGAGAAGAAAAAATTGCTTACTTATAAGCAGGGGTTCTAATTTGCTTTAGAAAATATTTATGGAAAAATCAACACCTCAGTTTTGAAATTCTGCTAAAACATCAACTACCATTGAATTTGAATAATATGTTCGGTATTTATTTAGTAATTTAAACTTACGGCCCTATCACGTTGGATCAAATATTCAATAATTATGACAAGGTCATAAGATAATTTAAGCTTTTGAACCGTAATTGGAATAGTTTTCTTCTTCTTCTTCTTCTTCTTCTTCTTCTTCTTCTTCTTCTTTCGGGTATTCGTTGACATTTCAAAAAGTGTCAAAAGAGTGTTCGTTGACATCACAAAATTAGTATTCCATGATGATTATTATTTTCAAGTAATTATAATTACTACTGTTTAATTTTTTCTTCTTCTTCTTCTTCTTCTTCTTCTTCTTCTTTTCTTCTTTCTTTTTTTCTTCTTCTTCTTATTCTTATTCTTCTTCTTCTTCTTCTTCATCCTTCTT